CACACACACACACAGAGAGAGAGATACATACGCACACACACACACACACACACACACATATATATATATATACTCAAAGAGAGAGAGAGAGAGAGACAGACAGACAGACAGACAGACAGACAGACAGACAGAGAGAGCGAAAGAGAGTAGCAAATTTCAAAAAGATAGGAGAGCAGACTGAAGTACACGCCTGAGCACAGACAAAAACACGACGATAGTTTATCTTCTCGACAGATAAGCCACAGTCATGAATCAACAAAGTTTGCCCTGCTGACCAATTTTAGAGAGGAAAGTCATTCACATTACGTTGAGGACAATCAGATAGGATATTAACTGAATATATGAGCTTTAACAAATATATTTTTTAAAAACAAGTTATTAAGGATGAAAATGTGACATGGTATAGGCTTAACGTCCCTATCAATACGGTGAGGTTAAAAGAAGGGAAAGAGGGGGGTGCGTTTTTTCTTAGTTTCACTAGTAAGTTCTGAATTTTACGGTTGCAATACAGATAGGTCATACGAGCGTACAAGAGTCGATGATTAGAGGTGCTACTAGAGAGTAACATACAAAGAAAAGAAGGAGGTCAGATAACAACAGCTGATATTTGACAGGAAAGAAGGAGGCAAACAGCAACAGAGCTTCGGCCAACCACCCACTGTAAGAGGTGAAAAGGATGATAACACGAGTTAAAGTGAATTTGAGTGAAGTGCAGTATGTTTCCTTTTGATAAGAATTAAGTGGTTGAAATAGATAAAAAAAAACAAGTCTAACATCGTTATTTCGGAGAATAAAATTGTTTTACGAGTATTAATGTTTGTTTTAAGTTGCATGTAAGGGGTGGGGGGTGTCTAAGAGAGGAATACATACAGGGCCTGTAAAATGGGGGAAAAGTGAATTGTTTTTAGTTTAGTTTTAGTAGAGGTTTTACGGTGCTCACAACTGCCGAAAGTCATAAGAGCGCCAAGGGATGGATGTCAACAGAGAAGTCCATACAGGGAATCAGACTTACTCCGCTCACCTCTCTAGTTGTTTCAACAGCACAAAGTCTGCTTCGACTATCAAGGCACCCCGGAAATAGCGAGTCACAAGAGTGTGACAAGCATACAAAAGAAGTAGAGGAAAATGACGATAGTAAGGATTATGATAGAAAAAGTAGCAATTCCCTGTTGAAGTTCAGGCACAATTATGAGCGTGACATTGGTGAATCAGTCAATTTACAATTACAATTATACTGTGCTTAAGAACATGGTTAATGTCCCCTACTGTTACAAGTGAGAAATAAACGCAAAAAATGGAGG